GGATACGTACAGCTAGCTTAATTTTCCATATACCGGAAACATGGCTCACAACCGAGAACAAGGCGAGTAGGCTAACTCCTCGGTAACCGCCCCTACAACGTTTACCGAGTTGACAGCAAAGGGCGAAAGGGTAGGGGTGTTTGCTGTATAGCTGGAAATTCATTGTTGCTAGACTCTACCGCCGCTACTGGCCTCCATGTCTACCAAACCCCCGAACTGCTGCTGGCCTCGAAGTTACATATCTTTCCGCTGTGTGTTTTTAGGGTCGTTATTGTTTATCCGACGCACCTGTCTCAGCTCAAAATAATGATAGTAATCTTATGATTCTCTTTCGATTGCTGTACATGAAAAAATGAGGCACTGTGGTTCTAGGTGATTTTGACATCGACGACGACTGGAGAACAAGTACTGCCAGAAACTCAGTTGCCTCCAAGTTTTTGGAACTATTTCGATGCTGTAGCTTTGTTCAGCATGTCCGCATGCCCACACGAGGAGAGCCTACTCCAGACATAACACTTTCTAATGCTCTCATAATTACGAATGGTTTTTTCGGTGTTACCGCCTCTTGCAGCGTCTGATCACAGAATTAGTCAGCATTTAAATTTAGCTTGCTCACTCATCCAGTACCACCGTACAGATCCATATAATCCTCCTGTCGAAGTACTTCTCTTCATTAGACTGGTGGATCTTTTTCATGGCTACGTTTCTTGTGATGATGTGTACAAAAGGTATCGCCGCACTGTCTGCGCAGGTTTAGCAGAGCATGTAACCCTTTCATTTACAAAAATCTGCCGGTCACTGTCTCAGAAAGCACGGCTCCATCGTGAGTCAAATAATGACATACTATCCTCTCTTCAGTACAAGAAAGTATGTCGCGAGCTTAATGACCATTTATGAAAATTCCTGTCCAATAAGGAAAGGAGAGTCACCACTAGTTCCCATAGAGAAGGAGTTGTTTGCGGTTAATCAAATACAAGATTAAGCTACATTCTCATATACCTGTGCTCCACGATGAGAGTGGAAATCGTTCGATGACTGATACCAAAAAGCTGAGGCTCTTGCGCAGTTTTTCTCCTCTGTTTTCTCTGTACAAGACAACACTTCTTGCACTGTAAGCCTCGAAGGTCGCGAGACCTTGAGTGCCATTAGCGAATGTGTGGTACTCTTCTTGCGCAGTTTTTCTCCTCTGTTTTCTCTGTACAAGACAACACTTCTTGCACTGTAAGCCTCGGAGGTCGCGAGACCTTGAGTGCCATTAGCGAATGTGTGGTATCCATTGAGGATGTGCATGAGACCTTGAAGTCATTCAAATGCTCTAATCCGCTTCCTTTCGATGGTATCCCTCAAATAGTATACAAAAACTGCGCATTGTCTTTATGCAAGTCTACCTGTATAATTCTCAATGCTTCTATGCTTCTCTGATGTTCAGTGAGGTCCCGCTGTGCTGGAAAGAATCCATTATCGCTGCTATTTCTAATATACCTGAGCCTAATCTCGTCTCTTCGTTTCGCCCGATATGCATCACCGCTTCACCTGCCAAAGCTCTGGAGAAGATATTACGTGGTAGAATCGTATCACATCTTGAGAAGCAGAACTTGATTCCCATAGGCACGGACTCATGAGCGGTGATTCTACGAGCACTCTGATGGCAGACTGTACTTTTGATTGGACTCTCGCCATTAATGAGGGTAGAGGTGACGACGTCATCTATTTCGATTTGTCCAAAGCCTTTGATAAAGTGAACCACGAGAAGCTTCTTCACAAGTTGTGGCAATTAGGAATCGAAGGCCCCATCCTTTGCTGGATCCGTTCCTACTTGGAAGATAGGCATATGGTGTGTTAGAGTGAGGTGATAGTTTCTCACGGAGTTTTTCCTGTACTAGTGGAGTTCCACAAGGAGGAGTGTTGTCACCTTGTTATTCTTGGCCTACACCCACGACTTACCTCGCTATCTTGAAACTCACCCACTGGTCAGAATCAAAATATATGCAGACGACATAAAAATATATGGCGTTTATGATAATGACAATCATGACTGCGTGCACCGAGCGCTAACCCAGTCCATATATAACATTATGGAGTGGGCTTTTGCTTGGGGAATTTTTCAAAAACGTTCGTTCTTCATGGGGTAGAGGCCAGGGTTGTACCGTACACGGTTAAGGGCATGCAAATTGCCACTTCTGATGAAGTATGAGCCTTGGTTTCCTTGTCAATTCCAGTTTAGAGTTTTCACAACCCTTTCCGCCATCCTCAGAAATATTCGACAAAATGATTCTTCAATCCTGTTGAAGCTCTATAAAGCTCACGTTGTCACTAAGAAACTTCAGGCGAAAATTGGGAAGGTCCAGCAAACTTTCACAAGAATTTTGATGTATCGGTGTTATCCCGACCCTGCATACCCAGGCAGCTTACCCAGGGAACGCTTACGCCTTTCTACCCTTAAATCATTAATGTACAGAAGAGTGTTTAATGATATTGTGTTCTGTTTCAAGATACTGAAAGGAAAGCTAAGATTGAAACTCAGTAAATACTGGGTGTTCAGGCCAATACAAATAGCCGCATTTCTTCGCTGTCTTTGCAATGTCCTACATTTAACGCAAGGCACAGAGCCCAGGTTTTCACTATTTTTGCGAGGAGCGGGATGGCTCCAGTCCCTTCCACCAGACCTGCAAAAGGCGCCTAACATCTATTCGTTCAGAAGTAAATTGAAAAAGGTTGACCTAGTGAACTTGATAGGCATGCAAGGTTTTAAGAAAAAATTCAACTTCTGGAGTGGTTTCTCAATTGCGTGTGTTCGTGTTGCTCTTTTTTTGTTTTTTTTTTTTCTTTCATATACTACTTGGATGTTTCATTTTGTACACTATGAGAACCTGCTGACATTGTAGCGCACCTATGCGTGCATGATAAACAAATAAATAATATGCAAAAACTTGGTCTCCCACAGGAATATAAGCTGCAGCTCATGCTTGTAAAGGTAACCGTGCTATGGCCTAACAAGGGAGGTCGTTCAGGGCGTGGTGAGCTTTTTCAAAATGGTCTTGTGCATATTGTAGGGGCACATACGAGGACCAGAAAACTGAGGTTCATTTTCGCTGCGCGCTTCTACGAATAAAAAAACGTAAAAAATAGGTCGATGGTTCGGATCCCACCGAGGACAAAATTTTGCTTTTCTACAATTTTTCATTTTTTGGATCCATGTTTGTCTAGATAATTGGTCCTAACGAAAACATTCACGATAAACTGAACAATCCTACTTTTATGTAGCAAAACTGTTTTTTCGTTCGAATTCGTTAGTATGCACAGACTCAGCTCTTCGGCGCTATGCCGGTGCCAGATGGCACTGAAACCGAAAATAAAGTCTAGAATCGTGATCAGGACTGTCGATTACCCCTAGGAGAGGTTTGCGGAAGACAATTTGATTTTTTGACTTTTTTCGGGTCGTAGTGACCGACGATTATAGGTCGGACTGTGAGCGAGTCTCTCATCTTCGTAACAGCGATGACGTATTTGACGCTACGGACCCAGGACAACCCAGTAAGCAAACCACAAGAAGGTCAAAACAATTATTTTGACCGAAAATTCGTTTTTAGTAGTAATCACAAATATAACACCTATTCTTGGCGTCCACGCACTTCAACGACAGAATAGCAGTGAACGTTCCCTATATTGGTTTACATAACGATCTAGAAGAGGAGAGATGTGGCCCCAAATTGTCTATAATGCACCACACCAGAATTACTAAATTCGCAATCAGATCCACTGTATAGCCTATGAGGATCAACGTCCAGCAACAATCTTGTTCAATGGTGCGTGAAAATCGAAATAGTTGAACAGCACTGACTCATGAGGTACAGCTACTCAGAATGTGCCCATAAATGGCAAATATCCCAAATATCCGAGTTATATTCATGCGCAGACACAAATGGAAGCGAGAACAGCGAAATCTAAAAAATGCAAAAAGCCACGACGCAAGGGGAGCCGAACCATCAACCCCACCCTCACTGTCCGATTGCGAAACCTCCACTCTATCCGCTAGGCCATCCGATGCTCGACTCTGTGGAGCGCTCTTATCCTTGATGAAACCACTGCAAGAAGCCGTTCACCCTTGAGCATGTGACCCAAGTTGGAAGCTCATTTGCGGCGATTTTTCGCTTCGATTCAAATAGCCCCTTTATAAGGACCCCCCACTCAGCAACTGGTCAAAGTTGCAAGTGACCTACGCCGTATAGAGGCCCAGAACGAAGCAGATTCCAAAGATTTCTTTTCACTCGTTTTTTACCTTTCCTGGAAGCGCGCAGCGAAAATGAAGCACACTTTTCAGGTCCTTGCATGAGCCCCTACAATATGCAAAAAACCGTTTTCGAAAAGCGCACCACGCCCTGAACGACCTCCCTTGTAAGAGACAACAAGCTGGTAGTGTCAAAGGCGGCCATGTTTGTGTAGCACACAAGGCACGTTGCACATTGCGACCCCCTTTGCGAGGGGGTAATCTTCAGTCGCTAGAGAGAGGAAGGAATCGTGACAGCGCACATCGTTGCTGGGGAATCCCCTATAGAGGGGTCGTACTTGGTCATTGCGTTGTCGTTGTTCCCCTGCGCTGCTGTCATCGTTCCACGGAGGTTATGAACAATTTTCGGGAAAACTCCGCGAAAGTGGTAGAAAATGGGGAAAATTCAAGAAGGTGGTATATGTAGGTGGAGGTTAGGGGAGAGGGGGGTGTCTCGAAGTTTTGAGGAGGGGGGGGGTCGTATTCCCTAGAATTTTCCTCCATACGACCAGGTTGCACACTAGTTTTGTAAACGCGAGCTGAGATTTCGCGTCCCGCTTGAGGTCAAGTTTTGAGTATAAATCAGTTTTCTTGTGAACACAATCTCTACAAAGCTTCCTTTCCCACACAGGTTGTGTGAGAATATTCCAGTGACAGCCAATGAGGCAGTGCAGTAGGCAGTTAGATATTTATTACATTAGTACGTGAAGGTCAGTATGTAGATCAGTGCCGTTCACTCCTTCTTGTCAGACGATTGTTTCTCCAACTCTTCACCAACCTTCCTCATGTCCTCCTGAAGCTGACTGAATTTGAAAAAGATCTCGCTTCTTGGAATGCATGATCTACAAGCGTGCGCTTCTGAGCGACGGTCACGACAACCTATCGATCAATACTCGACTAAATGACGCCAGCCATCCATAATCGGCGTCCGTAGGATTCGCCATTCGAAAACGACTTAGGCTGCATTGGGAGTGAAGCTGTTCAGTCCGCGATTTCGGAATTGTGCGACTGAATGGCATCTGCAGCCAACCGAACGTCTCGCTAACCGTTGGATCAGAGTACAGCATCGTTGTGTGAACACATAGGGGGGTGGTACTTTTTCGCTGAGGAGGACTCGTATTTGGTGGTGTTGTTTGGAGAGGGGTGTCGTATATGGTTTTGAAAGGAGTTTGCAAAATTTTTCCGAAATCATTCACAGTTTTTGAGTTTTTGCAAGATTTTCCCTGTTTCATGTGTACTACATATACCCCCTTCCACCGGAAAATTTCTGGGTGAAAAACTGGACTGGAAAATGTGAGGAAATTGGTAAGTAGGTGTTCGGGGGAGGGGGGGTCGCAGAATCGTTGGAACTGCTCATTCAGCTACATTTGCTCGAAACCTATTTCAAGATTTTTGCCGGTCCAGCGATCAGTGGTGGAGCGCGTCGCGCGGCCGAATCGCTCAAGTCATGAAAAACGCGAAGGTGGCATCACTAGTTTGCCCCGTACGCACCGCCCACCAAGAAGCGATGCATTCGATGGACGCAACATGAGCTATCAGATATTTTGGTACTTTTTATTGTGTTCAGTTTAGTTTTCACCTCTGAGCTAGCTCATTTTGGCTAGAAACTTTCGCACGCTCTGTTTGCGACAAACTATTATGAAACCAGTATTGGACTAACGATATTTACAACTTTGCCTTGAAGGCCATGGATCGATCCACTGCGTGTTGTTTCGAGTATTCAAAGTGGCAGACCTTGTGCGGTTGGGAAAACCGCCGTGTTGAACACGCCAAGGCTTACAGTCTCGTTCGCTGCGAATGCACACTTTAGAGGTATCGGATTTGGCGCAACGCCAACCAGTTGCGCCTCCTGTCACTTGCCACAAATGGTGAATAGATGGCTAGTGCCTCGCCAAACTAGACCCTCTGACACGGCCCAACATGCCTCAGAGAATGAGACTGTATACAATTTTTGTACTTGGGGAATTAGCTTTTGAGATTTCTTTTTATTCGCTCGCGATTGTTTCTGGGAGACGAAAACGGGCAGAAAGCACAAAGCGATGTTGAAGAGAACCTTACCGACATTTGGTGGAATTTGAACAGGTCTATAGTTGGAGGAAGCACGAAGTTCATCTCGCGTCTGCTGTTGGATTCCTTTCCTTCGAGAAACTGATTGAAGGAGTTCACTAGCTGCTCGCATGGATGACCGCAAGCAGAATATCGAGTAGGTAGTACGAGCACGCGGTCGCTTCGGTCTTTCCTGGAATGGTATCCATTGGTCAATTTCGGTGTGCGCTGCGTTTGACGATTTTACTACCGCACGCCTGACCAGAGCCAGAACGGGCTAATTGTCGGTGTCCTTTCACTTCTGGTTGTTCTCTACAGCTGAGTGCGTGTTTCCCCAAAGACCTAGGTATAGACACTAGTGCTGCGCTTCGAGGATAACACGGCGAAGTATGGAGACGGCAATCGGGTACCGCTACACTACAACCCCGTTTCCGCGCACTTTTGAGTGGAGAAAGTGTCATGCTACTGCATCTGCGGCACCATTCAACTCGCACACGGCAAGGACCGTCCGCAGAGATGAGTGCATTATGTACTAGTACCGTAAACATTACCCACCCTGCAAGGGTGGCTAGTGTATCCGACAGCAGATGCTGCGAAATTTCATTTAGAGACGGTGATGGGTGGAAAACAAACCCAAGTACGCCATTGCCTATGTGGTCAGGTCACCCATCCTTCACAGATGTTGTAGATGGCAGCCGCTCCGGAAACGATCACGTTTTTCCTTAGGTCCCAGATATCTCTCTCGGTCTGGTAAACTTTCCAGTTACAGTACCAAGTTTCCAACTGTGTCATCTAATCCTTTCGATATATGATTCTATGCCTTCAGAAGCTCTGCTGCTGAAGGCATAGAATCATACGCCAAAAGCTGATAAACTGAAGATAACCCACCGCTCCTTTTCTTTTGCCGGCATGCGAGCAGCTCGAGTCAGTTAGGAATGAACCAAACCTCAAGCTTCATATCGATATAGATAAATCAACCAGCATGATTTTATCAAGATGCAGTGTGATGGTTTGCCGTGATAAGGAGTAATCATACATTTTGGGCTCACATCAGCAGACATAGTAGTATCACACCTCCCTCCGGCGCTGTTCGGCGGTGAGGGCATTTTGCACTTTGCACTTCCCATCGACCCGTTTAGAGAGCCTTTTCTTGAGCTGGTAGGTTTTATCATAGTGACTCGGCGTGCTTGCTCCAGCTTCGCAAGGGTTCACAGGTTTCATCAGAGTGAGACTTGTAAAAGTGAAGCAGCGGAAGTACAAAATGACCCCTCGTCGCGGAACTGCCCCCCCCCCACTTCCTTCCTATTCGCAGCAGGTTTGAACAAGTATTGCTTCATGTGCGCGGTACGATTCGTTACTACTGGTCTGTTTATCAGAAACCTGAAGACGCATAAAGGAGTGGCAGGGAAGTGAAGCGATCAGGGTCGTGGGCTTCTTATATGGCTTAGAAGCTAGAAGCATTTGGCTCTTCAAATTTAGCTAACCAGACCAGAGAGATTCCTCGAGAAACTGAGCAGACGCCTGTGTGGTCAAAATCACGTAAATTTTCGATTCGGGTCATACAAGGAGAGAGCGCAGGTCAATTTGGTCCTGTGCTGACCCAATATTGCGTAGAGCGGTGGTCTCGCAAAGGAATGTAAAAGAACTGTTCAAGAACGTAAACGAGTGGAGAACGAAAAAAGTTTCGGTCGAGGAGGGTGCGGTAGTGTTCATCCTCACACGAGGATCGGCTGGATGAAATTGAGCACTGAATATTTGATTATGAAGACCTTTCGACCATTGTCAAGCTTCCTCTACGAGAAGCTGCCATTTCTAGTACCAAATTGGAGGCGATCAAAAATCGAATTTAGGTGGCTCCTTTTCTAGCAGAAATACAAACTTAGAACTAATCTGATGGCTGCAGCAGAATGCTCTCCGTATAAAAGCAGCTCTCGCGCTCAACGCTCTCGTGGGATTTCCTCCTTGACTGAATAGTCTAGAGTAGTCGCAAACTGAGACAACCTGAGGGGCAATTTTTGTGACTGCGCACCGGACTACTTAGGCAATGAATTTATCCCACCAACTGGTTGAGCGTAAGGTCTATTTTTAAGAGGCTATGCACGATTGCGAAAACGGACCCTGGCCTAACATAGGGGAAATATGGCCGGTCTTGTGTTCTAATATCAAAGTCACATGCTGGCTTAGAATGGGTGCAGACCAGAAGCTGATTGAATTATGTCATGAGACATAAACATGGTTTCTGTAAAGGATAGAGTGTGGGAGGGGGCGTGAGTTGGATCGCAGTTGGAACAACCTTCGCGCCAATTATTGTGGACTCATGGATGACATCACCGATGGGAAGGCGGCTCGACTGGGCTGCAACCGGGCTCTGTACGAAAAAACGGACCCTCACTGCTTTATCTATTTCGCTGTTCCTAACAACCAGATCTACAAATGTAAAGCAGCCTTAATAGGTACAAATACCCGAAGGCCATCGTTGGCGATAACAATAGCAAGCCCAAAGCAATGTTTTATCCAGAAGTGGTCCGACGGGAAGCTCGCTGAGACTTCGATTCAATCGGTCGTACTCGCTGGACCTGCTGAGGGGGGGGTCGTACTGACACCCTCTCTCGGGTGGGAGGGGTGGTTGTACCTTGCACAACATTCACACATCACGATCCCTGATCGATGGTGCCATTACGCTGACGACATATCGAACCGCGCACGCCAATGCGCCATGCCAAAAACCTTGTTTCCGCGCACTCGGGCCTCCAAGTCGCCCCGCCCCTGCTCGTATTGTCTGATTTGCTTCAACTCCTTTGGGTCACTTAGTCGTCCAGAGATTAGGGTGTCACTGATCCACTAGCTGCAGCAATTCACGCAGACAACAGGTAGTATGTCGTTAATTATTGTCTTGCACCGCCTTCGTTGGTTTATTACATCCCAGTGTAGTCACTCTCCCACGTAGTCTCGCTCAACCACTAAGTTTAATGACACAAGCTGTAACGTGGATCCTACCAAATTTCGTGGTGCCTGAAAAACTTGATGTTGGGAAGTTTAATTTTTGTTTTTATCCGCTGCTCGATGCATTGTCACATCTCCCAAGATTGCTTTGGAAAAAACTCAGGTAGTAGCTCCGCCATCCCTCCAACAAATGCAGAATTTTGGGGAGGGAGATGTAGACTGCACGAATGTTCAAAATCAACAAGGAAAATCTTTTCTCTTGGAAAACGACCCCTTCTAGTGTTTGCACAGGGATCCTGCCCTGTGGGCAATTTTCATAGAAGTCGATTCATTTTTTCACGATGCTGTAGTGCTAGGCTCTAAGGAGATGGTGAATTATCTATGCAACTAATGAATTCAAGTATTATGTTTTGAAGGTATAAATATTCTGCAACAATGGAGGAGCATTCAGGAAGTATCCGTTATCACGTGCATGACGCTTACAGTCCTCATCACTGCGAACCGGTGGGGCGTGTCAGGCCAGACGGAGTGCGCATACTGTTGAGGCCGTTCTCAGCCTTTTGTTTGCATAGCAAGTATGCACAAAAAGTGTATAAAACGATAATCACGTAATGATCATACTCTATAATAAAGGTGAAGTGGTCGTGCGTCTGTGCACCAATAGGTAGAATATGGCCTCCGTCCACAAAAGGCGCCTATATTTAACTGAAGTGAGCGGTGTCTCTCGAAAACGTCAAGAAAACTCTTGAAAGCCGTCAACATTGGGATGGGGGGTGAGGGCATGTTGAAATAGCATTCGGCGAATAATTACCCGAATTACACACAACCAATTGCCTCGCACATCCGATAGACGGGCGTGCCTGAAGTGAAGTACTTGCCGACATTGACTAAAAAATTCGTAAATTCCTCCTGAAAGATCAACAGGAGGGGACAAAATCATTATCTATGCCCAACGTATACTACACCACAATGGTGCATAACCCTAAGTGCAGCGGGCTTTTTCGGCGGGCGGGCGCTGACGGCAAATCTTCAAAATTCAGACACGGAAACTGCTCGCAGCGGAAACGCCCGAGTAAAAAACGGGCAGGTAGATAAACAAAGGTAGCACATCCGAACTGGCGTTGGGAGAGCCTGGCATATGCGTTTAGCGCCGTTTGTCTGGGTACGCGGACCAAGTAAAAATTTCGAAGTTCGAACCCGGAACTACCCGAGCAGCGGGAAAACGGCGGGAAGAGTGAGAAGTCGGTCGAGGTTGAATGGAAGAAGGCATACTTGAAATGGACGTGTGAAGTAAAAATCACTCTCTCCATCAGTATTCTTGGTAATAACATGGTTGTGTTATCATACGATCACAGACATTGATACAACAGAGCTGACCTAGTAACATTAGTTGCAGATCGAGCAGGTTTCTAACGCATCTTAGAATTAAACCACATTTTTGTGAAGCAGTTTTCGAACGCAACCCGCTCTGTGATCGAACTCGCATTTTGTTACATGAAAATTCATTGTGGCTTCATTTATGAAGGGGTTAGGCAGGAGGAAGTAGACATAAGTGAAGAACACCCCAGCGAATGAGATGTGCGACCGAGTCGCGACGCCTGCTGCAAAATTCATCAATTAGTATATTCCGCAGCCAAATGAGATACAGTGAATGTGAGGTCATAATCGAAAATTATAACCTACTACCAATTTTTAACATGTATTTATTTGTTTATTTACCTGCTATTCATTCTACACCAACTCTCCAAATACCCATATACCTTACCACATTCCGTTCATACCACTAAGCATCAGTACCCGGCATTCATCCTACCCTTCTTTCTTTACGAAAATTTCACAAACGCCCACTAGCGGCGGGGGGGGTAAATACAAATTGTGAAACGTAATGTCTGAATGCAAAAGAAAATTTTCTCTGCGAAGGTTTTTTCTGTAGCGAGAGACTCGCCACGCCACAAGCGGGCGACTCCGACTGGCCTCAGTTTGATGCGTGATCCACTTCACACGCATAAGGAGGATGGCCGCCAGATAGCGGGTCGATCTCGACTGCCTCAGTTGATGGCCGGGACCCATCTCTTCAACCATAGGAGATGGTCCCGCGAGGCCGCTGCCCAAATCTGGGTGGGCATCCGACTGGCCTCAACTTGAATTGCGGACCCACTTCACACCATATGGAGGATGCCCGCCGAAGCGGCGATCCGACTGGGCCTCTATTGAATGGCTGCGCCACTTTCACACGCATAAGGAGGGGCCTCAGTTTGGATGGCCGGGCCGAAGGCGGGCGATCCGACTGGGCCTCAGTTTGGATGGCCGGGGACCCACTTCACACGCATAAGGAGGATCGCCCGCCGAAGGCGGGCGATCCGACTGGGCCTCAGTTTGGATGGCCGGGGACCCACTTCACACTCATAAGGAATCCGACTGGGCCTCAGTTTGGATGGCCGGGGACGCTCACTTCACACCGATAAGGAGGATGCCGACTGGCGCCTTCATTTTGAATGGCCGGGACGTCTCACTCCGACAACGCATATGAAGGATTGCCCGCCGAAAGGCGCGATCCGACTGGCCTCAATTTGATGGCCGAGGGATCTCACTTATTCACGGACATATGAAGATGCCCGCCGACGGCAGGGCGAATCCCGACTGGGCCTCAGTTTGAATGCTGCTGAACACACTTCACATAGGCGTCGTTTCCTTGTCATTTAAGGATTGGCCTTTCAGTTTTTCGGGCCGTGAAGGTGCGTGTTGATTCCGTACTGGCTCAGTTTTGGATTAGTTCTTTATACCTCATTGTTTCACATCCATTAATGGAGTGATTTTCTCCTTGTCTTTCTTATAATGTGCGTTCTTATCGCTGTTGTCCTCAATTTGGATTCTCGTGTGACTCTTCATCTTCACTTATCTGTGTGTCTGTGCTATTAAGTATATTCGATTCTTGTCCTTTTCATTTTTGTGTTGGCTCGTTGTTTAC